TATTAGAATTAGCATAAAAGTTAAATAAAGTTTATAAAATTAATAAGATTTGTATTGATTTTTGGTATGCATCAAAGTTGATAAAGATAATTCATCTGGTGCTAATATCATGTTTGAAATAGTTTGATAAAAATATTTTATTTGTCTTGCTAAATATATTCTTAATTTAGTTTTTAATAATTTATTATTTTTTAAAAGATTATTTTGTAATTAATTTTGAATTCCCTGTTTTTTATTATTTTTTTATATTTAATATTTGAAATTTTGATTTACATGTGAGATTTTTTTTATATTAAATAAATGATTCCCTTCCACAAAAACAATAAAAATATTTCTTTAAAAAAATATGCAACTTTATTTTAAATTGCATGTGGCCAGGTCTTTTAAAAATAAAAAAAATTTCATGTTTGTATAATTAATAAAAAAAATACAAAATATAATTTAGCATCTTTAAATACCAAATTCAAGAAAAATTATTTTATTAATATCTTTATATGTATTTTTATATTTAATAATTAGTTTGTTGAAGCCACGAGGAATTTAGTTTGGGCGAGAACGTATCCAGACCCAACTTGGGATTAGACGTGTACGCGTCCAGACCCAACTTAGGTTTTGGTGTAGTTATGTCAAGCTTCACTTGAAGATTGATGTGGATGTGTCCACGCCCAACTTGTATTGGGTGAGGATACACCTAAACTTTTAATTATAATAAAAATAAAGTAATTATAACCCAAATAATATTATTTTTAATATTAATACTCTTAATCATAATAAAAATAAAAATAAAAATAAAAATATTATTTTTAATATTAATACTTTTAATCATAGTAAACATAAAAAATAATTATAACACAAACAATATGTTCTTTAAATATTAATAATATTTTTTTTTCAAATTTACTAATTATTTTATTCATAATATTAATTATAATAAAAATAATAATATTTATAATGTAAATAATTATATTAAGAATTTAAAGGATGATTACAACACAAATAATAATATTTTTATATTAATACTTCGAGTTATAATAAAAGTAATAATATTTATAACATAAATAATAATAGTTTTTATATGAACACTTTGAATTATAAAAGAAAAAAAATAATATTTATAACACACATTATTATATAAACACATATGTAGTTGGGTGTGAACGCGTCTCAATCAAAGCGCCATGTGACGGTGGGGCTTCCATAGCTAATTAGGTCTTTTGCCAAGATTCAAACGTCAAGTGGTGCTTAGGTCTACCCCTTATATAGGAGCTGTCTAAATGCTAGGTGGTGCACAGGTGTGCCCAATGGCTACATGGCCTACGTGGCACATGGGTTCTGCAAAAGGCCTAATTATCTTAGGTTTGAGGTAGAATCCAATTGTCTTGAATTCAGTGTCATATACCAAGCTTAATAGATCTTATGTGATCCAATTTCATTAGGTCTTGATAAAGGATTTTAAATATTTTAATTTTTACTAAAGTATTACTATAAAAAATAGTATTATTTGTGTTATAAATATTTTAATTTTTTATTATAATTAAAAGTATTAATATCAAAAATAGTTTTATTTGTATAATGAATAGTATTTTCATTAAAAAAATATTATTATTGTTATTGAAATTTAAAATATTCAAATAAAAAATAGTATTATTTGTGCTATAAATATTAATATTTTATTTATAATCAATAGAATAATTAATAAAAATATTATCAATTGTGGTATAAATAACACTATTTTTATTGTAAGTAATAATGTAATAATAACAATGGAAAATGTCACGTGGTGTTTGGGCTATCCTTGCACCACGTGGCGATTGAGCCACTTTAGCCAATCAAGCCTTTTGCCAAGACCTAACTGCTAAGTGGCGCTCGGGTTTTTCCAAGCGCCATATGGTGTTGGGGTTGTCATAAGCAATCAAGCCTTTTACCAAGATCCTAGCCCAGGTGGCACGGGGGTCTGCCCTGATCAGTGGAGTCGTCCAAGTGCCAAGTGGCACTTTAGTCTACCTGCGCATGAGACCGTCCAAGTGCCAAGTGATGCTCGGATCTGCCTCACACAAGGGCGGGTAGCCCAAATGCCAATTATCCTTGCATAGACAGCGCTAACGCTAGGTGCCTGTTCCTCAAGTCATGCAATCCCACCAAAACTTGTGCTGGCCATCTTTTTCCCAAGCATCCCTTCAATGATGAATGCTTCCTAATGAAAAGATTGCCTCATCCCTCCATTGATGCCCTTGCAGCTTTTAGTGGTAAGGGCTGAGTTGCCATTACACTGTTCCAATTCGTAATACTCTTAATCTAGGTAAATAGTAACAGGAGCAATGAGTTCTTTTAGTATTGTTGTAATCTATTTTTGGGTCCCCAAGCAAAAAAAAATAGAAAAAAAAATTAAACAGTGAGGAGTGGATGTCAAAACATAATAATAAAAAAAAGGGTCAGAAATTGGTTGATGATGGTCACAAATACAAATATTGAAATTTGACAGTATATATTGGACTGGTGGAAGCCCTACTGACAAAGAAAATTTAATTTGAGGAAGAAAAGTTCAAAATTAGATGTGCATGTACTTAATTAAATTTTATTAAAGGTTTAATTGAATTTATGAAAGGTTTGATTGCAATAAAAATTGATTTTAAAGTCAATTTAGGCTTTAATTGAAAAAAATTAAAGTTTCGGGGTCAAATTATAATTTTTGAGAGTTAATTTGGTTAAATCAGGGGCTTAATTGCATAAATATTGAAGTTTGATTGCTAATTAGGAACTTAATTGAAAAAATCCAAAACTAAGAACCAAAATAAAAAACATGTGTAAATAGAGGGGTTGTAATTAAACAGAATCAGGAGCCATATTAAAGAAATTAGAAGTTTATTAATCAATTAAGGGTCAAATTATATAAATTCAAGACAAAGGACCAAAGTAAAAAAGACGGTCAAGTTTAGGCCTGCTTTTTGATTTTTGACAGGGATGCAATTGCATTGAATTGGTAATCAAAATTGCAATTTTAGACTTGATTGAACAAATTATAAATTAAAGACTAATTTGGACTTTGACATAAGTCTGACTCCGTTTTCTTTTAAATAAAACAGCATGTTTTGGTTAAAACAGCACCGTTTCATACACTGTTCTAAAAAACAAAAAGCCCAAAATGATATAGTTTTGAACAACATTGTAGCCTTTCTTCTTCCCCTGGACCCGTGAAGCAGGGGAAGAAGAAGATTTTTCTTTTTCTATTTTCCACCATCTTGAAGCAGGGGAAGAAGAAGATTTTTCTTTCTCTATTTTCCACCATCCTATCTCTCTCTCTCTTTTAAAAAGACGCCGACCAACCCTACTTGCTGAAAGCTTTCCACATGTTGGAGAAAATGAAGGAGACGTGCCTCCTCAGGCACTCAAGGGGTGGCTACTGTGTAGCCGCCCCATCCATATCTCTCTCTTGTTTTTGCTTATAAGTACAGGAGAAAAGAGGACATAACAGGGGAGAGCGGAAGAGAAGAAAAAAAGACTAAAAGAAAGGAAAGAGGATGAAGAAAAAATAAATAAACAGTAGGGAGAAAACAAAAAAAATAGGGGAAAAGAAGAGAAGAGAAGAGAGGAAGACCACCGCAGCCACCACCATCACCATCACCACCCACCCTTACCTTCCTCATTGCTGCCATGAGAATTTCCTTGAGTCACTGACTAGTAGCTTCGCCATTAGCAGAGGCAGAGAAGAAATCGATACAGAAGAAAAAAAGAGAAGAGGAACCCTTAGCCGTTTTAGCTCACCCGCCTCCACTACCACCAGCAATTGCATTCTGCCATCTTAACCACTACCAGCATCACTAAGAGTAGCTGCAGGTCAGAGCTCACCCGCCTCCACTACCACCAGCAAATGCATTCTGCCATCTTAACCACTACCAACATCACTAAGAGTAGCTGCAGGTCAGTCCCCCCCACATCTCTCTTCTTCGTTCATCTCCTTCTCTATTCTGTCTTCAGTTGCTTTCATTTGCATGCAAAACGTGAGCAATTCATGTTCTGCATCAAATGAAAATAATTAGTTGTCAGTAATAAACTAAATATATTTTTTAGGCCGGTGTTGACCCATTTTATTTTAGGTCAATGTTGGCCCATTTCAATTTTAAAAAATTAAACAAAACATTAGTGATTTTCTCGCCTTTTTATTTTATTTTATCCATTTTGGTTAATATCGATTTATACTTTTACATCGTAAAAATAAAAATCTAGTATTAAAATACTCGATTTTTATCAATTTAAAAAAATTAAAAAATATATTTTTGTGCATACGACCAAGAGTCTCAAAACTAAAAAAATCATATTGTGTTTTTCATACACCAAAAAATAATATTTTAATGTACATTTTGATTTTAATAACCAATTTATTAAAATCAAGAGAATATTAGTGAAAATTTCAAAAACAACAAAAATTTTATTTGGTTTGTCTTTTAATATCCGGGGTACGACATTACATGTAATATGTATTTCGGATATTATTTTTTTTTGTTTCGGACCCTAAAAGAGAAAAGCCTCCTTATTAAGAAGAGTTTTTCTTGAATTTTGGACAGACCAGCAATTAAAAAAATATAATAAGATCATAGTTTTTTATCAAACAATAAAATAAATACCTTTTTTTCAATATAATAAGATCATAGTTTTTTATCAAATAATAAAACAAATACCTTTTCTTCATATAACTAGTTTTTAAACCTGATTTTTGAGATTAGTTAGGATTTTTAACAATTAAAATATTAGATAACAACTTCTATTTTTAATGATAAGGAACACAAATTACTTATCTCTTTCTATTTACAAAATAAACCATTATATTTTCCTGAGAGTGGTAAATAACTGCCGTGATGCCAAGTGCTATAAGTATATTGTTAATTTAGAGTCTTTTGGTCCAATGTGATCTTGTAACGCTCCATGTTGTCAACTCCTACTATTCACGCTTCATCAGTGCCATTCTCTTACTGCTTGTTTGGAAAATCAATTTACATGCTTTTCTTTGTTACAAGAATTCTTGATCGACAGGCGTACTGTACATGTAAATTTGTTGGGCCTGTGGGCATAACCAAGATACGGGGATAACAGATGTAAGAGATTTCTCCTCAATTTGAGACATCTTTTCATGTTTTTGTTCTTGATAGCTAAACTGGTGCGTAAGAAAAAGGTGATCCGTGTAATTTGATGATTTGTGGGATTTGGTTTCATCGACTTCATAATTTTGTTTGCTGGGAATTCACAAGTTGCGGGTTTTATCCGCTGACCAGGCTCTTTAGGGGGTTGACTGTCCATTTCAGTTCTGATAACATTGGTCTTAAGGCCTCGTGATGGTCTTGGAATGGGCTTCTAACTTGGATCTGTATGGGTGTTATTAATGCTGGGCTGGGAAATCACTCTCCCTGTCAGACGTGCTCCGAAGGAAGGCAGCGCGTCCTAGTTCACTTTACAGAAGAAACAAAAACCTCGTCCCTCTTTAACAAGCTAGCAATGGAGAGTTCGGTTCAACATTTTCCTGTCACCCATAAGGAGTGTTCTGTAGTTATCAAGGTATGATCAACCACCTGATTGTTTTTTTTTCTTTCCTTCTAGGTTGTGTGAGTTTTATTCTGATTGATTTATTGTGTAAAAGGAATGGCCCATTAATGATTGAGTTTTCTTCACTTGTTTTTGTCTGTCTTTCTCTGCTTGACAGGGAAACAAAACAGATGTGGTCATTTCCGGTTATGATGACCATTTTCTGGTGAGTTTGAGAATAACATATATTTGGTGGGCTTGTGTCTGTGTGGACAGAAATGTGATGTTTGACAAAATGCTTAACAGGTGATTGCTACCCAAATAGGAAGCATGGGCACAATACTGCATGCCAGGTATGAAGAATCCACGATTTTACTGCTTTTAAAAATTGTCAGCTAAAACATATTATTATGGCTATCCACGGCAAGGCCACAAGATTCTGTTTCTTATCAGTACCGCAAGGCCAATTGTTTTTCTTTTATCTTATTCCTGCTTGTTTGTGGAACAAAGTAACAACCTCTTTCAAATTTATTGAATTTACTGCTCTTTTTCTTTGATGTAACTGATATCATAATAAACACGACACTTTCAAGTAGTTGCTTGCTTGCTTGTATATCTTTTCATACTCCAGTGAGATTGATATTTGGACGGGATATGGTTATGATGGATATCCTGAACTTATTCTGTCGCATACCTGTACACCTGATTAGCTGCCTGGACCCCTGTGGGGGGGGGGGGGGGGGGGGTTGTTGTCGGGGCGCCTCCTTCTAACCTCCATATTTGTCGAGGGTGGTTTCCAATCCTCCATACCCGCCTTCATTGGATGCAGGCCTCCAATGGAGGTCCACATATTTCTTTTCATGACTCATTTTCATCAAATAAACTCAACTCGTTAAAGAAGAGGGAGGGGGTGGGGGGGGGTTCACAAATTATTTTAGATATATATTGGCAAAATTATAATATAATCATTTATATATAGATTTGGGTCTGGAGGTCTATCAGATCTAAGGATGCCTTAGCTGCCTCCTTAACCAAATCAATCAGTTATTTTATCCGCCTCCACTTCCATGGGGATAAAAGGTATGGTTTATGAAGAAATCTGAAGGTAGATAGATGTATATGCTTTGACTGAAGTGATCAAGCATTGGTTACAAAGTGTGGTGGAAAATCTTTATCAAAAGGGTGAGAAGAAAGGGTAAAGATTTCCAAAGACATAATGATATATCTCAAAAGAGCAGATAAACCGTTGCTAGTCAGCATTTTTTAGGGAAAATCAGTCGCAAGAATCCAAGAATGATTAATCATTATATTTAGCTGAAACATATCTCACAACCATGCTTATTAAGATTATATTAGAGTATTAGACTTGAATGGTAGTTTTTAGCAGATTTTCTATGATATACTCTGCATTTGTTGCTAGGAAGGACGAGAGTTTGTCAATCCATCCAACCTTCAATGTGTCTGTAATCTTTGGAAAACGTGATGAGGTAAGCTAGCTAGCCAGCCTCAGTAGTTCCTAGTTTGATTATAACTTGTGATTAATTTTGGTTGATTTCAAAATGCGCAGCCAATGCTCGTCGCTTGTGCTAGACAACTAATTGAACATATAAGGTATGCCTCTATTTGGCATAAATTATTTAAACAGGTCAGCTATCATGTAATCACTGCTTTGTCTCTGCTTAAGAAACCTCTGAAATGTGATGTGTGTGTGTGTGATTATAACATCTCCTTTTGTATTGGTTCTAAATACCCTGTTACTAACATCTCCTTTTGTGTTGGCAGTACATCAGGCTCGTCCAAGCCATTGGTGCTCTCTCTTGGTCTTCAAGACCATTCTTCGGTAATATCCTTAGAAATCATCTTCCAGAGAATGAATATGGAAGTGTAACGACTAAACTCTTCTCATGCAGGAAACATTGAGAGGAGTTGTCTCTGCCGTAACTGCAAATCGTGTATGGTGACAAGCAAATTACCATGTGACCTCTGATTTTGCCAGTGAACTCCCAGGTTTTCTGAATACAACAAGGTGGCATTTATTTATTTAGGGCTGCCAGATTCTAAAAAATGAAACAGCTTCAGGATTCAAATTCGCTTCTTTTCTTAATATCCTCATGGGACATTGTCGTTATGGAATAGGGGTGACTATATAAACTTCTCATCGGTGCTCTTGATCAATATTTACCATTTACTAGAGTCAAATTGTAGTGGAAGTGATTGTTGATCTACAAGTTGTGGGTGCAAATCGTGGCTGTGATGAATTAGGGTTTCAAATCATATAATCAATTACTAATGTTGCAATCTATTTTTCTAGGAGCCTTATCATTATATTAAATTATATTATATTTGGAGGACCTTGAAAAGAAAACATAATCATTTAGGTTATGGATCGCTGGATAGGAGATAAATACAAAATGAACAAAAAAAAATGTTTGTTGGGGGGACAGGAGACAGATAAAAAAGAAATCCGTCTTTGATACAGGTTTTGCGCGTGCATACCTTTTTAAAATAGGAAGAGAGGAAGATATGCCTCTTTATGTTTTCACCGTGTCCTCTTCTACCTTGGATCTTGGTTTACGTTGAAAGCTTTGAGGGTGGCCATCTTGAATTCGTGTGCGTGCACGAAAGGGATATCAGATTGTAATGATGTGCCAGTCTTGCTGGTGCTAATTGCATGTTTCCCGTGGCTCATGAGTTCTAACAATGCAATGTAAATAAAACAACTGATCAACTTATGGAATGTCTACAACTCAATTCCCAGCCGAAATCAAGACTTTCCCCGGGTTCCTGAGCTGCGACCTTGGCTGCGGATTGATGGCTCTGGACGGCAACAACGAAGGAAAACTCCCCCGGAACATTGCACCAGTGAGCAACGAATCGTGCAGCTACAGTTACACGTTAATATGTCTTCCCATGTGACCTTTTTTAAACAGTAAGAAATTTGAGTGGAGGTCCAAGCTAATGAAATAGATTTTGGAAGAACATCTTTGGGCTTACATTTGAAAATTGGATGAACTTGTTTTGAAAATAGGAACTGAAGTTGGTTTATCAAATCGAGTAGAAACCTAGGGGAAAACAATGCTCCCCACTTCTTAGACGTCGAAGCACACTCCTCCCTCTCCTCTCAATCAACAATGCCGGGAACCCAAATTTAATTATTGGATGTTAGGGTTTTTCTGATGCATCGTGGCTCACGAGACACGAATATATCAATCAGTTTCTACCAGACACTTGATTTGAGATACTGTCATTATTCATCTTTTCATGGGATTTTCTTGTAGAGAAGAATCATCGGGGGCAGACCTATGCTCTCCACTTCTGCTGGATTTGAAGGGCAGCGTTTACTATTGAATAAAAGTGATGCTGCCCCTAGCACACGGCAGCATAAAAGCCTGCCATGTATGCTGGCAGCAAGAACTTCGAAACGTCCAATAAAATCAAAATTGGACCCAAAAACAATTTAACGTTTAGTTGTCTACACAGCATTACAGATGAAATTTGATCCCTCGTCCATGGTAGGAATGAATGCATCAAGTTTTACGAGAATTATCAACAATCGCTGTGAACACATGTCGAGAAGATAAGAGTCGTTGGTTAAAATGACAAATGACAAATCCCTGCGCAACATGATGGCTATACAATTGCTGAAAATAACCAAATTCAAGCAGGCACTAACGCTGGAAATTGACATCCTTTGTTCTAATCAATGATGCGTGTTCGCATTTCAAATTAGAACACTGGTTAATGTTGCGGCAGCCCTGGTCTCTTTTCCACCATCTCATAATGGAGAACGAAATTTTCCTGCATCAACATCGATTTTACCAATGGGGATCAGAAATCAATCAAACCAGAATTCGTAGAGCAAGAAAAGATTGCAACATATGAACTAATTACAGAGAAGTCAAGACCTTGAGCGTTATCTCAAATGTGTTTGGTTCAAAACAATGGTAAGAACCTCTCTCATATGTGCTCGTTTTAACAAGTGGCTCTGTGTTGGGGACTCTTTTTAACCAGCGCCGCTGCTCCTTGTGGTATAACCAGCCTCTTTCATAACTGCCGGCAGAGAATATCCCACCATTAGTCATATTTTTCAATTAGCAAAATTGCAGGTATTCAAATCCTGAATGGTCTTTTTCCCCGAGCATAAGATGGACTCAAAAAGGCAGGAAAGGTAAGGAAACGTGCAGGCAGTGGAGGTTACATGGATACAAAACTACAACATTCAATTCATCAGAATCAGAGCTTACAGTATGCTTGCGGCATGTAATTGAGCTTCATCTTTTGGCATGCTGAAAAGCAACAGGATCAAGAAAGGCATTAGTGAAAATCTTGAAACATAAGGAAAGAAAACATCAAAAATCCACTAAACAACTGCACCTGTAAAAGGCATAGAGCAACGTTTCTGTCCAGAGCTTTGAAAAGTAATTATGCTGCAACCAAGACCCAAAAGAAAAGTCAATTATGGAAATAAGAGGTTAGGATTAAATAACAAAATTATAGAAAAAGGACAACAGCAAACTCACATCCAGTGGAGGTGGTGGCTTAGCATAATAACACTTTGGAACAATGAACTCTGGATCACCCTTTGCTGGCTCGTCAGACCATGGGGAGCCAAAAGTCTTGTGAAGACTCTCAGCTGAATTCAAATTCAATCCAAGAGTTGTTAAATCAATTCCAAGTGCCAGGGAGGTCAGATCAGGATCACTCATCCTTATAACACTTAACAAGCCAAGTAACCCAAATGGATCAGGTGCGGATTGTGCTGTCTGCATGGACTTTATGCCCTGATCTCTAAATGGTTGATTGACAGTCGACATTTGTTGTAGTCGAAACTGGGGCTGGTTCTGGTGTTGATACTGCTGGATGAGCTGGTCGTATGATCCAACACCAGATACCGTATTCGGAGAATTTAAAGGTCTCAGCCCAATTCCCGGTGGTCCACTGGTCTAAAACACAGATGAAAGGATAGTTTAACAGATTTCTTAAGAGGAAAAATGAATAACCATAGATAAAAATCATAGCTATTGTACTACCCCAACATGAAGTTATGAAACCAGTTGGTGTGGTAACCATCAGTAACAAATTATTGAATCCAAGAAAATTTTCTTCTGGGTTGATGTTGTCAGTGTTGCCCTTCACCATGATATCTATCAATTTAATCCTTTACCAGTTGTTTTCAATTATACCCATCAGTTCATTCTCCATCCCAATCTATTAAGAGGATACGTTAAGTATCCACCTGGCAAGTCCATAATTAAAGATCAATCATATTTATTGTTTAAAAATAACATAAAATTAATGACAATGAAATTTCAATCTAAACTAAAAATTTTGGAAAAATCAATGCCATTTAAACTCAAAAGTACACAAATTCAATTTCATGGGTTTCCAATTATTTCAATGCTTTTACTATTAGTTTTGTTTATTTCACTCATAATAAATTCTAAAGTTAATAAATCTTAATCTGGAGCTGCCGCATGGTATTTAATGGATTCTATTAACTGATTTGGATGAAGAGTGGACAGAACGGTTGAATTGGAAATTCAAGGTGACAATAAGGGCAAACTTGACAGATCCAATAGGTACAACGCAACATTAATAACAAAATTATTCATGAGGGGCTATTTTTTGTAGTTACCCTTTTTTTAATATACTGTAACCACGCAAGGACTTGAAATTGACCACTTTCATGAGATATTAAAACCACATTCACTTGAGGCAATGGAGACCCTCTACATGGCATTGCAAAAAACTATTAACAGGGCTAAACTTCCACACCTGTGGGTGATAGGCTGAATGTGAAGACGGAAATAGTTCTGAACCATGAAGATCTTGATTGTTTACAGATGCAAAAGAGACGCTACTACTGACAGCTGGGGCATGTTGCTGTTGTTGCTGAGGACGATAGGATGAATAAGCCTCTCCTAAGTTGAACCCAGCAGATCTCCCTATCTGCAGAGTGCAGAAATAAGGTGTCAGAAAGTACAAACAGATAACATTTGCTATTGCTAAATTTCCATTTCACATAGAGGCTCACAGAGAAGTGCTGAGATTGCATCATTGACAAGGTATTGTCGTGCAGTTGTTCTTTCTGATGCAAATCCATGGTGTAATCAGCATTACCACCTGAATCAAATTCAATATCATAGTCAACGTGCATGAAAAATGCATTTCTGATTGGAGAAAAATTAGGATAACTATGCAGATGTAGGTTTTTGTTCTGGCAAGGGGCAAAATCACATACACAGCCATAGCAAAGTCCAGAAGACACAACATTAAAAATGTTATATATCCAATCACAAAATATTGCTCATGCATGCATTAGGAAAATCTTTATTGCAACTTATACAGGGACATCATTGACTAATTAAAAGGCAGCATCACATCAATGAGCAAACACGTGAAGATGGGAAATTACAGGACTGGGAAATTACAGGACCAATGAGCTTCTATTCCCACCAACCAGGAGGCAGTGTGTTAGCTTTATACAGAAAGCAAGGAGTTTGCAAGAATGAGTTTGGAACCTTTAAATCCTGGTAAAGCTGGAAAATCTTCATTCTGAATGCTGAACTCTTGGCTTTGTTGAACAATAGGACTAACTCCAAGACCAGGTTTTCGTAGTGAACCTGCAAGTAGTTTCATTGTATTTTATCACCAAATACAGGTGAAAGCAGAGACAGAAATAACCATAAACAGATAGCAAAAGCATATTTTAATTACCCAATTGACCTTGAGGCCCTCCAGCAGAACTAGGACGACTTGTCAACTGAGGGAAATCATTGTTAATGTCGAAAGGGGAACTGTCATTGGAGATCACATCATTCAACATTCCCATAGAGCTGAGATTGTTCACACCTTGAACATGGCTTTGGGAAAGAGGACCTATGGCATTGGGGTAGGAGTTTCCTAACATAGGAATCACCTGTGGATTTCCTGAATCCACAAAATGTCATTTACACAAGCAAATATAGCTAAACTTCGAAATTAACATTTGAAAATTGAAACAATCTGTGAACATAAGAACTAATAGGGCAGCGAACAGTCAAATTAATTGTTCAGGATATCAGACCAAGTGGTTGAATCATATAAAACCAAGCATCCACTTGATTCAGATTTGTTTTTTAACACCAGAAAGACTCACAAACTTGAATCTTCCATACAATCTAAAAGATAATGACATTCTTTTCAAGTGAAAAAAACAGTGCACTTTAAAAGGCCTTAATCCCAGACTAGTAGTAGGGGTCAGCTATAAGGATCCTTTTGTGCCAACCAGGCAATCATAAAAAAAGAAAAAGAGGGCTGC